TGGGCGGACCTAGGGCAGTTCTCGCGTCCCAGAAGAAGCAGGAGGTGGCACACGCCGGAGGGAGGCCGAAATTGCGGCGGTGACTCAGCAGAAAGGGAGGCGGCGCGTGACCTGGCCAAGACCGCCGGAACGGACGGTCTGCACAAGCGGAACGGACGTTCCGCTTGGCCTGGAACGGACGGTCTGCTTGTCAGACCGGACGTTCTGGCCCGTTTTCGTCCGTTTTTCTCGCTCGTTTCGGTCCAATCCTTCGGGTCAACTTGGTTAGGGTCTAACTTAATATTTTAGGGACATTTTTATGGCTCATATATGTTTTCCTAAAATTTGGTTTGAAAGTCGAATTTACGGGTTATTACACTCAAATTCTTCAATTTTGGAATGTGAGATCTCATCAGAGTAGAGAAATATGTCGAGTGTAATACGAAAATTGAGAAATTTGTTGTTAGAATCGCCAACGACATCTCTTTGGAGAGAAAAAGAAAAAAAAACGTTTTGAATTTTTAAAAAAAAGTAAGAGAATAAATTTTTCGAAGGTTTTTTTTCACTATATAAAGAATTGCCACGTGTTCAATATTTTAAGGGCAAACTAGTCCTTTCGTCATTTTAGTTTTTTTTTTTTGAAAATCTTAAACCTAGTGGGTTATCTCTTGAAGTAAAATAGATATTTGGGGTTATTTTTATAATTTTGCCCATTTACTCTCTGTATTGTCTCTTGTAACAGAGGGAATTGCAAAAATAACCCCAATTGTCGATTTGACTTCAAGGGATGACCTTGACTTTTAAAAAAAAAGACAACACAAACTCATAACCTCATAATTGTATCTTTTCAAAAATACCATTCGTTTTTAATTTATTATTAAATTAAAAAATATATTATAGATCTTTTTCCTCTCCCTCCTCTCTATCTCCTCTCCCACCTCTCTCTCTCCCCACTCTTGCCTCTGTCGAACTATCGTGGTTTGAAGCCTTCATCTCCATTTCTTTTTTAGCTAATTTATTGTGAAAAAATAACATTAAGTTTGAGCATTTCATCGATTAAACACAGATCTGAATAAAGGAAAGTATTGTTTATAAATTTCGTTATTAAATTTGAGCATTTGTAAGCATTTTTGCTTTGTTGTTTTTTCATCTTTATATTTAATCCATATGAATATGGATTGAATAAAAAATGATATATTTATCAGAAATATCATGATTCATGTTATTCAAACTAGTCGAAATCATTAAATTTGTGAAATTCATCAAAACGGGAGAATTCAGGAAACTAGTCATACATACGTATCGGAATGGTCAGACCGGTCATACTTCTCAAACTCGTCCAACTGGTCATACTTGCAAAACTGGTCATAAATTAAATCTAAACGATTCGAAAAGTTGTATACAGGTTATAAGTATATTTGCATCGTTTTGAAGTTCTAATTTCACGTGAAAAAAAATCTTTCAACATAAGCCAATTGTACCCAATGTGTTACATAAACACTACTATTACTTTAGTTCTTCTTTAGAAATAGTTACTTTGCCAAACAAAAAATGTGTTTAATCCATATTGCTACGACCGATTTGAACTTGAAATATTTGTGATATGATGTGATTATTACTATGTTAACACTTTTAAAACAATGAATTATGCAATTTCGAACAAGTCTGACAGTCTGACCAAGGTATGACCGTCTGACCATTTGGGTACGAAAAAAAATACCTAAATTAAATATAAATGATTCAAAAAGTTGTATAGGGGTTATAAGATCACTTTTGCATCGTTTTGGAATTCTAATTTCACATGGAAAAAAATCTTTCGACATAAGTCAATTGTAGACAATGTGTTACACAAACACTACTATTACTTTAGGTCTTCTTTGGAAGGAGTTACATTGACAAACAAAAAATGTACTCAATCCATATTGCTACGACCGATTTGAACTTGAAATATTTGTGATATGATGTGATTATTACAATATTAACACTTTTAAAACGATGAATTATGCAATTTCGAACAAGTCTGACCGTCTGACCAAGGTATGACCGTCTGACCGTATGACCATTTGGGTACGAAAAAAATACCTAAATTAAATCCAAACGATTCAAAAAGTTGTATAGGGGTTATAAGATTACTTTTGTATCGTTTTGGAGTTCTAATTTCACGTGGAAAAAAAAATCTCTCGACATAAGTCAATTGTACTCAATGTGTTACACAAACACTATTATTACTTTAGGTCTTCTTTGGAAGGAGTTACATTGACAAACAAAAAATGTCCTCAATCGATATTGCTACGACCGATTTGAAATTCAAATATTTATGATATGATGTGATTATTACAATGTTAACATTTTTAAAACGATGAATTATGCAATTTCGAACAAGTCTGATCGTCTGACCAAGGTATGATAGTATGACCGTATGATCATTTGGGTACGAAAAAAATTCCTAAATTAAATTTAAACGATTCAAAAAGTTGTATAGGGTTTATAAGAATACTTTTACATCATTTTGGAGTTCTAATTTCACGTGGAAAAAAAATATCTCAACATAAGTCAATTGTACTCAATGTGTTACATAAACATTCCTATTACTTTAGGTCTCTTTGGAAGGAGTTGTTGATGACATCGTTGTTCTTGGCACCATGAGCACAATCAGATCGGTTTGACCGTTGTGACATTTCGGTAGCCAAAATTTCTCTGAGAATTTTCATCAAACACTTTCAATGCATTCTCAAATTCTTCAACTTTGGTGTGTCGGATCTCGTTCTAGATGAAAAGTTTGTCAAGTCTAATTGTTTCTTCGAATCGAATCGAAGTGAAACCCTAATAAGCCAAAATTCAAGATAAGAAAAACATGTTTCTACACTTTTAAATTCGTAAATTCATCATTTTTGAAAAAATCTGACTAGTGTGGCTCGTTTAATCCTATGACCAGTCTAATGATATGATCAAAATATGATCGGTATGACCAAAGTCTGACTGTATGACCAAAGTCTGATCGTCTCACCAAAGTATCATCGGTTTGACCAAAGTCTAACCGTCTGACCGATTTTAAATTTAAAAAACGTGTTATATGAGATTATTATTATTATACCATATTAACACTTTTAAAATGATAAATTCATCAATTTTCAAGAAGTCTGATTGTCTGACCAAATTCTGACTATATGACCAATGTATAACCGTCTTATCAAAGTGTGACCGGTATGACCATTTTTACACGAAAAATAAAGGTCTAAATTAAGTTTAAACGATTCAAAAAGTTGTATAAGAGTTATAAGAATACATTTCATCGTTTTGGTGATCTAATTCCATGTATAAAAAAAAATTCTTAATATAAGTCATATTCACTCAAAGTGTGACCGGCTGACCAAATTGTGAACGTCTGATCAAAATCTGATCGGTATGACGAAAGTCTGACCGATATGACCAGTATGACGTTTTAAGAGCCAAAATTTATCTGAAGATTTTTATCGAACACTTTCCATACATTCTCAAATTCTTCAATTTTGGAATGTGAGATCTCATCATAGTAGAGAAATATGTCGAGTGTAAAACGAAAATTGAGAAATTTGTTGTTAGAATCGCCAACGAAATCTCTTTGGAAAGAAAAAGAAAAAAAAATTGCGTTTTGAATTTTTAGAAAAAGTGAGACAATAAATTTTCTGAAGGTTTTTTTCAATATACATAGAGTTGCCACGTACTCAATTTTTTTAAAGGCAAACTAGTCTTTTCGTCATTTTAGTTTTTTTTTAAAAAATCTTAAACCTAGAAGATCATCCCTTAAAATCAAAATTGACATTTGCGGTTATTTTTGCAATTTTGACCTTGGTAACATTTGTTTAATTGCAGATACTTCTGTGTGATTCTGAAATCATCACAGCGTTGTTGTTGTGCCAACCACGTAGATTTGTACTGAGAATTTCACCTCATTTACTCTCTGTATTGTCTTTTGTTTAGTGCAGATACTTCTGTGTGATTCTGAAATCTTTGTGAGGCTGACACGTGGCGTCAGATGATTGGGTGTTCGCCCCCTTCCATTTGAACTTTGGATTTGACTTTAAGTCAAAAGTCATCAGATCTGACGGCTGAGAACTCTCTATCTGTCTTTCATCGTCTCTTCCACATCATAAGTCCGAACTTTCGATCGCTCTTTGTCCGACGGAGAGAGGGGCGCCAAAAAAAGGGCCCTTTTGATAATTAGTGTTGAATAAAAAAGACACTCTAAATTTTTGTTCTCGGCGAAATCTGATTCTCATTTTCAAAATTTTCGTAATCGGTTCAGAAAAACCCCTGATTTCAGCTCGGCGATTTCTTCCCTCTTCTTCGCTCTCTTGGTTCGTCTTCTCCCGGTGGTTCGTGTCGCGTATTGAGGCACTGCGGAGGGTTGGCGATGGAGCACCAGAACGCGGTGAAAGAAGCCCTAAATGCGTTGTATCATCACCCGGACGATACAGTGCGTGTTCAAGCCGATCGATGGCTCCAGAACTTCCAGGGAACTCTCGATGCCTGGCAGGCGAGTCTCTCTCTCCCTCCCTCCTAATTCTTTCTGGGTCTGTTTCCAGCTTTGGATGCCCAGTTCGTCGGTTCCTCTTGCTTGTATTTCAATACAAGAATATGGATTTATTGTTTTCGATTGTAGCTTCTTCAGCAGCAGTTTTTCTGTAGATATGTTCTAGCTTTGACTTGTGTCTTCTAGAAAATGATAAATGTAGAGATACACTTTATACTCAATTATCATTTTTTGTTATTTAGCTTAGAGCGTATAAGTAGAATTTTCAGTCAGAGAATATGATTTTCTTGGTTTTTCTTATGCCCTTTCAGTGGCTAAATGTAAGAAGATGGAGATATGTTGATGATATGGAGGAGTAGAAAAATTTTACTTCTTTTGCTATTGAAAATGATGAATGTGAGGAGACGAGAACTGGGTTTTCAATACGAGTGATGTGATTTTGAATTTGTACAGATAGACTTCAGATTCAATCATCACTCTTTATTATTTAGCATGGAGAAGTAGGCTTAGAGCTTTTAAGTAGATTTTTCAGTGTTGAAGAATTTGATTTTCTTGGTTTTCTTATGTTCTTTTAGTGGCTAAATGTTTTTCTTGATCGAAATATGCTTCTTGATTTCAAGGATCGGAATTTTCGCTTCCTCAGCTTTTTTTATGTTTCGGTGGCTGTGATGTTTTTAAAGTATTGTTCATCTTTTGAATGTTCTGTAGGTTGCGGATAATTTACTTCATGATTCTTCCAGCAATTTGGAGACTTTGATATTCTGTTCTCAGACCCTTAGAAGCAAGGTAACACAAATTTGATTTCTCTGGAAGTTGTTTTATTCATATGGATACGGATTCTATACTTGTTTAATAGTCTAAATCTTGGTTTATATGATGCTTTATCTAATTCAAAGGTTCAGCGGGATTTTGAAGAACTACCACCAGGGGCTTTTCAAAAGCTACGGGGTTCTTTAACTGTAAGTTAGTATTCAGACTTTCTATGAGCCACTATATAGTGCTGCATGTTTGTGTATATCGATTCGGCTCTGAATATGCTGCGTATACGAGATTTTGACTTTCTCTGAAGAGCATAATGGGGGATCTTTCTTAGTGGCCTATATTGGGTTGTACTTGTAGGAGGTTAGAATTTAAATTCATAGCTAGTTGTAGTATAGAATATTCGAATTTAGATTAATCTTGTTTTACGTAATTATTTCCTAACCTATTCCAGAAGTTCTAATTGCAATCTGATCTATCTATTTACAGTCTCAAGTTTTGTGTTTGAGCTTGTGGGTCAAATGTTGTGGGCACTCAAGTGCTAGCGTAGCGTCCCGGGAATAGTATATAATCACAGTTAGGTTTTACAATGTTTTGCTTCTCATCGGAACTGTCTGAAATACCTCATAAACTTTCCAGCATGAATAATTGAGGCTATGCTCTAATACTTTCTCAGTTTTCCCAGTGCAACTTAAATTCATTGGTTTCTTAAATGCAGGCTTTGTTGAAAAAGTTTCACAAAGGCCCTCCAAAAGTTAGGACTCAGGTATGCTTCAGAAAAACTTTCCGATCATGTGCATATCTGACTTTCCTTAAAATTTGTTCACTTCGTATCTCAATACTCTTAGTCAAATATTTTGTGTTGCAGATTAGTATAGCAGTTGCAGCCTTAGCCATGCATGTTCCTGCAGGAGATTGGGGAGATGGTGGTATTGTTTACTGGCTAAGGGATGAAATGAATATGCATCCTGAATATGTACCTGGTTTCTTGGAACTGTTGACAGTTTTACCTGAGGTATAGCAGTATGGAATAGTGTTTTGTTATCTCATTTCTTCTGTTTAAACTCCGATTTTTTCTCTCAGCAATGTAACTGAAAAAGGTTACTTTTGGACTGACTTGATCTGTTTAGCGCCCTTTTTGAGGTATGCTAGCATGTTGACATAAGATTACAATAGAACTACCTTAGCTTAGTTGTTGAGGGCTTTAATGAATATGTTTTTCCTGTTCACTGTTAGACTATTGTATATTCTTGTCCATGGATGTGTGCTTATGTGTGTGTATGAATGTGTATATTGTATTTCACTCTTAAAAAGGTATTTTTTAATTTGTAGATATTGATTCAATTAGAGCTTGATATTTTTAAGAAAGCTTTTGTGCACGGTGTTACCTGCAACGAATGTGAGAAATCATTTGTTAACTAACGAAAATGCTTGTAATGATTTCCCAAGTTGATTTGCCAAGTCCTTTTCTTGCTCTGTTTTGTTGGTAACTCATTGGTACGGCTGAGCAGTTGATGTGTCTTTTGTTCTTTTATTTTCCCTTAGGGAGTATGTTCTTATGGCACTTGTTGTTGACAACCTTTGATGCGTTTGAATTGTGATCTAGCGATGAAGATCGTCTGATTTTTGTTCCAGGAGGCTTTTAACTACAAAATAGCAGCTCGTCCTGATCGGCGCCGTCAATTTGAGAATGAGCTCACTTCTCAAATGGAGGTCGCACTTAGTATATTGACAGCATGCTTAAATATAACGGAACTTAAGGAACAGGTTGGAGCTTATCTATATTCTCTAGGGGCCTAGGGCTATGGGGATGGTGGGATATTTTTTCTACTGTTTGAAGTTTATGCTAGTGGTTTCTTTATTTTCTGGAACACGTTTTCCATTGTCACTAAATGCACAGAGTATATGGAGGTCTCATTACATGGTGCTGCAATGATCTCTTTAATTCGGGACTGTCTTCTTTCGTGATTTTTTGGTTTTCAGGTTCTCGAGGCATTCTCTTCTTGGCTTCGACTTAGGCATGGGTATGGTCCTTCCTGATCTGTTCTCATTCTCTCTCTCTCTCTCTCTCTCTCTCGTTTACCTAGAATCAAACTCTCAGTTGTAAAATGTTCAATCAAAATTCATCAGGTGGAAAAATTGACCGTTGTTAATATATACTGTTATTCTCATAGAAATAACGTTTGACGGCATGTGACCCTGAGCTATTGTAAAATTTGGGTTTTAACTTTTCCAATTGAGGATTCTAGGACATGTGGGACTAACTTTTGAGATGAGTAGTTGTACTTACTGGACTTTGATTGGCTGTTCTTTCTACTCACCGACATACAATTGGATGATCATGAGACTACCTAAACTGCTGGTGGTAATTGCTTTGTAACGGTTTTTTAGGCTTCCTGGAGCTGTGCTTGCGTGTCATCCATTGGTGCATGCAGCTCTCTCAAGTTTGAACTGTGATCCGCTTTCAGAGGCATCAGTGAACGGTATACCTTGGGCTGCCCATATAGCTTTAGACCATTGAAGCCTTTTGAATGCTCTTCATGATATTCTGTTCTTCAGTCTGCAAAAATTTTGAACACCATTTCCTTGCAAAAGCATAATTTGTTTGAATGAGGTCAAATTTGAAATTTTTTGCTAGTGGGGCTCTGAAGAAAGCTGCGATATGTCTTGTTGGACTTTACTTTTTTTAATTTTATTCAAAGTACGAGATCCACAAAATACCTACTTGGATCTTTGTTGTCAAGCTTTGAATTTCAAGACACATAGGAAAAGAATCTTTAGATCATTTTAGGTCGGATGGCTAGTGAGACTCTAAAGAAAGCTTCAGATGTTGCTAGACTGCATTTTTCCTTTAATTCTAAGTTCGAGATCCACCTGAAGTCGCAGTAAATTTCAAGAAACATGTTGGAAAAGACTCTTTAGAGTGTGTTGGGTCGAATGCCTTGAATTGCTTTGTCATTTCCTCAAAATGATAAACCCTCTCTTTGGTCGCTATGGTTTACCACTTAGATTGGTTTAGTGTGTAGCCATTCCCCTTCACATCCCTTTGTTTAATTGTAGCTTGAATGTCATTTTATTTCTACCTTTAGCTTGTACCTTCTCACCAGGATATACTTCACTTATCATAAAGTGGCATTTTCCATTATGACATGAGAAGATTTTGTGATTTCTGTGAGATTCATGATGGCTAAGTTATTAATGGAAGAAACGATAAAAAAAACACCTGGATGTTTTTAGGTGTTTTTTATTGGTTATTCAATTTATGAGTCAAGGTTTCCTTCTGAAATATAGAGTACGTTATTAGAACTTTTGTGCGTGAACTGGAATTTTCTTTTTTTCATTTTTGCAGTCATCTCTGAATTGATACATCACACGACATCTCCGAGCTCTGGTGGCATTTCTGCACAGACGTCCTTAATCCAAGTAATTGTGCCTCAAGTTTTGGGTCTCAAGGCACATTTGAGAGATTCTTCTAAGGTACGGAATGTGATCTTAGTTTTATTTTTATATTTGGACAAATAGATGGATAAATCTCGTTTGGAGCATGCATAAGGTGATACTATTGCACATATTTCTTGTTTTACTGGTTTGAGGCTTGGCCGGCTATGATAGTGTGCTTAGGTAGGTTGGTAAAGGCTGGCTCATTTTCTGGCATTGGCAAAGGACCTCTTATAAAGTCTTCAATCATGGTGAAAACAAAAAAAATGTTCTTTCAGTCACGCATTCTTTTATCTCTTAGAGTCATTTCTCTTCAGGATGAAGAAGATGTCAAAGCCATTGCTCGATTGTTCGCTGACATAGGTGATTCCTATGTTGAACTGATTGCTACTGGTATGTAGCCCTCACTTTTTCACTATCCCATGTTTCAAGTTTTTCTTGTTTATCTCTTGTTTGCTTTTTAGTACTCCTGACCCCTTAGTTGCATCATGTGGAGTGGTATCATAAAGCATTCCTAGGGAGTAATGTTTCAATAGATTCCATGGGGTTTACTCTTCTTCTTAACTCCAGGCTCAGATGAATCGATGGTTATTGTCCATGCCCTAATAGAAGTTACTTCACACCCGGAATATGATATAGCTTCAATGACCTTCAACTTTTGGCATAGTCTTCAGCTTACTTTGATGAAGAGGTAATTTCTTCCTTGTCAATGTGTGCTAGTTGTTCCTAGTGCCATAATCTGAGCATGCACTTTTAACTTGCCAGGGACTCTTATATTTCTTTGGGGAATGAAGCATCCATTGAAGCTGAGAGAAACCGGAGGCTGCATATCTTCCGGTCAGCCTATGAGTCACTTGTATCTTTGGTGAGTTTGTCTTGAGATACTCCCCGAGTTCATTTTTGTTATCCACTCTCTATTATGTAATACTGCCGGCCTGTTGTTAATCAAGACGTGACCGTTTTCTATAGTTTAGCTTCAACCTACACATGAGTAGAATCCTTATGTGTTGGTGAATGCTATCTTTTGTAATATGAAATTGCATTTTTTTTTGGATAAAGTGTCAGATTGCTAGAATTTGGTTTGAGAGGTCATCTTTTGGAGGAAATTGAAAAACTAGCTCGATTATTGTCATCGGTGTATGCATTAGGTGCATTATGGAGTTGTGTTTCCTCTTGTGGATTTAAACTACTAGACCGGCTTGGTTGTCCTTCACAGGTTAGCTTCAGAGTTCAATATCCTCAAGATTATCAAGGCCTTTCATATGAGGACCTTAAAGAATTCAAGCAGACTAGATATGGTAATCTTATCTGCTTGTGACGACATTTCTTTAGCTAGGATAACACACACAGAGACCTCTACATTGTGTTTTAATCAATGTGGCATTGAATGACATATTACATTGCTTCTATGAAGTAAAGTGATGAAAGCATTCCGGGCAATTGATTTGGATTTGGAATAGATTGTAAAAGGGTGCTGGAACTAAAACTCATGGAATAGAAAAGTTGAGAAGTTTGACAATATTTTCAGGACATAGGTATTCCATGATTTCCATCATTTATATGTCATCAGATGTTGCACTCGAGTGAGATGTAAAGTCCCTGGGGGATAGATGATGAAATGAAGCCAGTTGATTGTTTATTCCTGTTTACGTCTGTCTGTGTTCTTTATTCAAACTTGATTCCCAGAGCAGATAGACTGCTAATCTTCTGAGGTTAGTTCGCGTTTAGTCTATTGGTTTTACAGGGGTAATTCCTTTTACTATGCTCTCTAAATAATTTTCTCCCTTGATTAGTGATGATGTTTGCATCTTACTCCTGTTTTACTTGTTACCATTTGCTAATTAGCATGTTGGTCATCATGAATTGTTCGATGACCCCAGACGACGCAATTGCTTCCTTCTCTTGTTTCATTTTGTTGAGATTGGGCTTTATTTCTTGAATTGTTCTGATAGACTTTGTGATGATGCCAGCTGTTGCAGATGTCTTAATAGATGCAGCATCCATATTAGGAGGTGATACAACCCTTAAGATTCTATTTATGAAGCTTCTTGAGGTGTGTACTAATCTTTTATTGTTAATTAACATTGGAGGTGTTGAAACAAAGTTGCTGCAACTTCCAATATTTTAATGCGGAAATAAAATTGCAGATGGAAAACTCTCTATGATCCTTTGGATTTTGAACATCAAATTTTGACACTGACATCTTACATTTGTCAAGGCCAATGCTCAGTCAGGAAATGAATTTAGTGAATGGCATCCAGCAGAAGCTATTTTGTTCTGTATATGGGCAATATCAAATTATGTCTCAGTTGTTGAAGCTGAAGTGATGCCCCAGGTATGTGCTCTTTAAACTTATAGTCCCTCCCCCCTCCCCCCTCTGTAAGATGGCTATATCGTGCTGCTGCTGGCCATTTTCATTTTTGTCAATGCCTCAGAAGAAGTATGGATTGCCAGTTTTTATGTTATTAAAAGTATTTATGGCTTCTATTAGATGCTTGTATTGCTTATTTTTTCCTTTTGTGGCTGAAATTGTGTTAGCTATTGACTCACTTAAATCTCTTCCCCCTTATCTTCTGCTTGCAGGTGATGGCCTTGCTTCAGACTCTTCCTCAGCAAGCCCAATTGCTTCAGACAGGTGATCAGATTTTCTTCTAACATATAACATGTAGGAGAGAAGTTAGATGGGGTGCCTTCTGCAAACTCACTGGTTCCTGATATTCAGAGTTGCTTATATCTTTCCTGGACCAATGGCTTTATCATATCTGAAGTATCAAATAATCAGAATTATTTTTTGCATGTGTGATTTCAGCATGCTTACTTGTTGGGGCATATTCAAAATGGCTTAATGCTGCACCAGCAAGTCTGTCTATATTGCCGTCCGTTATAAGAATTCTTTTGAGTGGAATGGGCACATCCGAATACTGTGCAGCAGCTGCAGCTTTGGCTTTTAGGCATATATGTGACGGTATTGTATACTCTCTTCCGAATTTTGCCATCTTGTTTCTTTCCGTCTTCTGAGCATAACATTGACAATATTATGGGAGGTAGTGCTCTCCTACAAAGAAAAGCAATCTTCTCTCTCTCTCTCTCTTTCTCTTGACATGACACCAATAGTTTTGGTCTTGGCATGGATTTGAACAAGCAAGCCTTGGAATTTTTTTATAAAAAAATACTTCAAGCCTTATATTCATTTCAGGACTAGACCAGCTATCCTTGTGTATCTTTTTCAACAGATTTTCTGAAAGGTTTCTCTTCTACCAGGGAACATTTTTATCTTTAAACTATAAAGCTTGCCTGACCCATTATAAATTTATAGCACACGAATTTAGGGAATCAATCAGTTCATAATTTTTAGTTCTCTCACGTTCAACCAAATGCTAATTGTTAGTTTTGTTTTAGGAAAATATGAAGTTATGACCTTGTTATTAAGAGAGAGCTGCAATAATTTCTCAAGGTGCATATGACTGACTTGCTTGAAAGTTCTTGCAAACTGCAAATGCTAGGAGGGAAGAATAATTGTGCAAGAAAAAGCACTTTATGGGTGATTCTGACAGTTGATATAGGAATTCTTTAAGGGACTCCGTTATTCTAGATGAGTTCGCAATGGATAAAACTGAGACATACCCATTGGAATCAAGGATTGTTATTATTCTAAGATGCCTGGTGGAATTATCTCCTTCCCTACGGCTTTCTTTGGCGTTCCATGGATATCGTGATTGATGATGGCCTGACAAGATAGCAGGATTAGTCGAAAGGTTTGACTGCAACTCGGTCTAAAAGATATGACATGGGCTCTGTTGATTTGCTAGTGTAGTATAGCATCCACTTGCAATACTGGCAAGTATATGGGATTGTGTTGTACGCTCTCCCGGGGCTGGAAGGTTTTGTGTTCTTCAGCCGTATTTTGACTTCAATCATAAATAACTTTTCATGACATAGGGTATGTGCCACCATTCTGACCGTAAACATAAACTTGTAGCTTTAGAACAACTAATGATTTTTTTATATGTTGATGGCTTATTGACCTCTCCTTCAATAAAAGAGAAAGAGAATCATTTTGAACCTAATATGTGTCTTGCCTGTCCTTTTTCCAACATCTGGTTCATTTTCTTTGGTATTTTGTGTTTTCCTTTTATTAGTCACAAGATTGTTCCTTTCTATACTTAACTAGAATCTGTATTAATAGTCCTATATCAACTGCAGATTGCAGAAAAAATCTCTGTGGATATTTTGATGGTTTATTTGATATCTACTGTATGGCAATAAATGGCGGAAGTGGTTATAAGGTCTCTGCAGAGGATTCGTTACATCTTGTTGAAGCCCTAAGGTATAGCATTTTACATCTATTTTGTCAAGTCCATGCAGCCCCATAATTTTTTTTTTTTTTTTTTTTTTGCAGTATGGTTGTTACTGAACTTCCTTCAGATCAGGCCAAGAATGCTCTAGAGAGGCTATGCTTGTCGGCTGCATCTCCTCTAAAGGTTAGCCACCTTAACAATTTATGTGTTTGCTTGACGAAATTTATGTTTATAGTATTAGGAATTGTAAATTTCGTGAACCAGGAAGCGGCAGAAGAAGGTTTGGACAAGAAGCATGCTCGTGAATTAACTGTTCATATTGATCGGTTTGCCTACCTCTTCAGGTTTGGTTAATGTCTCAAGAATGCAGTTTCTGCCTCCATGTATTGGATTTGATCTCACTTGCAAACATTACCAATTTAGGTATGTAAATCACCCTGAAGCTGTGGCTGCTGAGATCAATAAGCATTGGGCAATCTTTAGAGTTATATTTGACGTGTAAGCATCTCTAGACACGATAATATTTTTCGAAATTCTCCAATTCTTACGCTACCCCTTACGTTGAATGTTTCTGTTGCAGCCGTCCTTGGGACATGAGAACAATGGAATCTCTATGCAGGGCATGCAAATATGCTGTGAGCTTCCTGTCTTTATCTTAATGTAATTTCATTGCCTGTGTGCTTCCTGGGCTTGCCTGTTCGCTTTTATCGGGAAATTACCCGTTCATCTTTTACTCTCGCCTGTTACGGTAGTCTTAGCGGTATTGACGTCTTTATTGGCCTTCTATAGATATGAGAAAAGACGAGATTGCTTTACCATGTGTCGGCCGAGAGCTATTTGATAAATGGACGGGGACTATATTATATTTACAGGTACGTACTTCTGGAAGATACATAATTAACACGATCGGGGAAATGCTTGCAAAAGTTCAGTTCTTGTATCAACAACATCATCAGCCATGCTTTCTTTATCTCTCTAGCGAGGTTATTAAGGTAAGTTCTACTCTTTATGGATCAACTGGTGCGTCTTCGACATGAAAAATTTCAGAGCGTGTGATTTTTTTTTCCTTCTTGGGCTGCCAGATTTTTGGTTCGGACCCATCTTGTGCCGACTACCTGAAGAGCTTGATCGAAACCCTCTTTGCTCATACGACATGTCTTCTGACGAGTATCAAGGTTTATTACCGGAGTTAGCATTATCTTCTTCTTGTTTCTATTCATATGAATCATCTTTTGGCGTTTAAGTGTATGTGTATATATATATATATTCTTGCAGGAGTTCACTGCTAGACCAGACCTAGCTGATGATTGTTTCTTGTTGGCGTCGAGGTGCATTCGCTACTGCCCACATTTATTTATTCATTCTGCTATATTTCCATCACTTGTGGACTGTTCAATGGTTGGCATCACAGTTCAGCACAGGTTTACTCTCTCTCTCTCTCTCTCTCTCACATTGATCAATTGGGTTGGGAGAACTTGTTCATTTGTGTTTCCCCTCGATACAGAAGCTGACATGAACAAATATTGCTTTGACCCCATTTTTTTCAGAGAAGCCTGCCACTCCATACTGACCTTTCTGTCCGACATTTTCGATCTTGAGAAATCTGTAAAGGAAGAACAATACATCCGAATCAGGGACAGTGTCGTTATTCCCCGAGGCCCTACAATCTCCAGAATCTTGATTGCCTCGTTAACGGGAGCACTGCCCAGTTCTCGGCTAGAAACGGTATAATAACTGCTATTTTGATTTAGTTTTCCTAAACCCTAAACCCTAAATGGGACGTATAATTTTCTCGCAGGTAACATACACGATGCTAGCTCTGACAAGGACATACGGGATGAAAGCGGTAGGATGGGCAAAGGAAAGCGTTTGCCGGATTCCCGGAACGGCGGTGACAGAGGCCGAACAAACTAAGTTCTTGAAGGTGTTATCCGATGTAGCGCATGGGGCAGACCTGAATGTGAATTCCGTGCTCGGAAACGTAGAAGAGATATCCGACGTGTGCCGTCGGAACAGGACAGTGCAAGAGATCGTTCAGGCAGCTTTGAAGCCACTTGAACTGAACTTGGTTGATCCTCTTCTTCCTGTTTCATAGCAGAAAAAAAAAGCATTGAACAACAAAAAAAAAGAGAGAGAGAAAGAAACGTATAGGAAGGGAGGGGCCAATTTTTGAAGAGGTCTTTGAGGAGAGTGGTAAAAATATTATATAAATGTTTTTTTTTAATGTATTAAGCTGTTCTTTTGGTGTGTGTGTTTGCTATTATTCCATTTGTTTGCTTATTTATTCCGTTTTTTTTTTTTTTGTGAAAGCCTTCTTTTATTCACAATGGCTTCTCCTTTGTCTACGGAAGTACACATACTAAAGTTGAACCCACGGTCGGATATTTGAGAGTTTGTAAGTATTTGATTCTAAATTGGGTTTTAGGGTTCAGAGGTTTATTTTAAATCCGAATGGTTTGAATTTTAGAATTCGAAACCCAACGTCGAAGGTGTCTAAATTTCGGATATTTTATGGGTACTAGAAAGCCGAAGGTGAAATATCATTTTGGGTTGCATTTACTTTTATTCGAATTCAGTTTTTTTAGACTTTAGAAAAATTATAATCATTCGATTTTTATATCGAATTTCATTTACATTTGGTTTGGTATTGATTTTATTATTTTTATTCTATTGAAATTCGATTTGAATTCAAATGTGTCAATCTTAAATCTTAGAAATCATAATCATTCGATTTTAATATCAAATTCAATTTGATTATGATTATATTATATTATTTGGTTTAGATCATATATAACCTTGTTTTATAACATAATGTTACAAAATTTTGCGATCTAAAAGAATATATAATATCAACGAGGTCTGAATATAAGACAAATAATACATACACATGCATACTCTTGTTTTGATCATTATTACGAGTTTTTTAGGGTTTCTAGAGATTTGTGTTACTGATACTTTTGCTAAGGAAGTTACCAGCGAGAGAATTCGCTGAGTCATTAGCTTTAGAGTTCATCTAATCCTTGTCTGGTCTTAAGATCATCATCATCATCATCACATCATCATCATCATCATCATACTATTGGATCTCTCCGACTAACCATATCGGAGTTGCAAACGTGAAGAAGAATCATCATCAACTCACCAAAGAGACAAACATATATGTACACGCGTGTGTGTGTGTGTTATCCTCTCGACCCTTTTTGGTTTTGCTCGAAATTCAAGTGTTTGACTGAAATAACTTAGTACCAATGGTGGTTTTTGTCTGATATTCTTTGAACCGACGGCTTTCTTCCCCTTTCTCCCTCTCAGTCACGACACAGACCTGCAACGGGAAAGCTCTATCTTTGATCTCAGACCCGAAGCTAAGTATAAAAAGACACGTTTTTTTAACTGCTTTTGTTTTGGATTTTGCCTCTTACCTGCAGGTCCCGTTGTCACGGAAGAATCAGATGGAATCTCAGCCAACGGGTTGACAATGAATCCAGCATTGCCGTTAAGCCGCATTCTCGAGTCTCTAACTCCGACCCTTTGTGCATTTCCGTTCC